CTACTCTCTTTGATTTTAAAGGATAATTACGCTGTTGCTTCATAGTAGTGGTTCGGCATTTCATTTTGGACTAAACCTTTCCTTCATTCTTAATTGAAGGAAGGTGTCAAATCTTGTTAATTTTTACCTTCACAACAAGTCTTGCATCTGTTCTATGCCTTGGTTCAAGCCCTCATCATCACTTCTTACCTAGAGGATTGGAGTAGCTTCCTAATTAGTCTCTTTGCCTCAAGTCTCTCCCCTCCCCGGTCTATTCTCCACATAGGTGCTCAACTGAGATTCGTAAAGTCTGACCACGTCACTCCCTGATTCGGTACAACTACCCATTGTGACTCTGAATTACCTTGAGGGTCAAGTATGAGCTCCTCTGTTTGACATTTAAAGTCCATAACCATCTAGCTCCTGACCTACCTTTCTAGCCTTATATAAACTTCCCTTAAGACACTCTTAAGATGCAGACAAAATGGCCTCATTGTTCCTCATGCAGGACCTTCTGTCTCCTAAACCTTTCCCTTTTCAGAGGCTGTCACTCGTGCCTAGGATGTACTCCTTACTTACTGCTGCTTCTTAGAGTCCCTAATTTTCTTCAGAAATCATCTCGTGCCACCTTCTACATAAAGTATTTCCTGATTTCCCCCTTCATTTTAAAAACTGTATCATGTTTATATATGTATACTTTGTGTTCAGGATAGAAATGTTGTTTAGCAAATGATTACTCTTTCCTCCCTGCATTTTCATGACAGTTACTCTCTTGCTTTTTTCTCCTGGGGAATAGACGAGAGGTAGGATTGTGCCAGGCAAGTCAAATCACCACCACCTTGACCACCATCTCGCCTCAGATGTTGATGGAGATTGCCTAGGACCCTGAGTCCCAAGAGATTTGATAATAGCAGTGCCCTCCAAATCAACAGACCTTCCAACCTAGGTCCTATAGCCATCATTGGGATTAAGTCATGGTGGAAAGGGTGCCTGCCTTCTTTACCACCACCAGCAATAATTGCTGATCATTAGACTCTGAGCTCCTAGAGATCAGGCACAGTTTTTTAGGGGGTGGGGGGAGGGGGAAGGACTTTCTTTGTGTTCCCAGCACTTAGCAAAATTCCCGGCACATAGTAGATGTTTAATAAATGTTTGTTGAGGACTTGTCCAACTACCACCAACTGGCACATTGTCACATGACCTGGCAGAACCCTACCCAGACCAGTTCTGCTTCCAACTCAGCCCTCACAACTATCATCCAGGGAAGCAATTCATATGGAGAAAGGGCCAGTGATCCCCACCAAGTGCCACCCATAAGGGAGGCAAGCTAGCCTAGCTAAAGCAACAGGGACCAAATTGTGCTTCTTGCTGTTCCCCAGACATTACATCTCTCATCTTCATACCTCAATGAATTTCCTCTTCATCTTCACCTCCTGACAGTTTTATTTTTCTACTAGAATTAACTTGTGCTTCATGTCAGATATATTACTTATTTAGTATATTTGAGTATACAGGGTGCACTAAACATATATATGGTTTAATTTTCCTGATAGAATGTAAATTGCTTGAAGTCAGGGACTTTTTTTTTAATTTGTTTTTGTGTCCCCATCTTCTAGTACAATGCTTGGCACATATTAGGCTCTTCATAAATTCTTCAGTGAATGCAGTTACAGAGCTTGAAAGGTCAGGTCTGAAGGGACCATTTAGTTGTCTTCAGTACAAGCCCCACTTGTATCTGCCTCCTCTGCCATTTGTGGTGCTATGTGTGCCTGGAATATTGTCCTTTCTGCCTATTGACTTTTCACCACTGCAAATGTGCTTCTAGAAAGCCTACCTAAATCTGCTCATGTGACCTACAGAACACTTTTTACCTTTTTTGTACATTTACCATGTGTTATATCTCTGTGACTTTGAACAGGTTGTTCCCTTTAGCCTGGAATATACTCTTGGAATCTCTTAGAATCTCCCTTTGGAGGGAAATGAGACTTGAGTTGGATCTTCAAGGACACATTGAATTTGAAAAGGTTAACGTGAAAAGTGAGACGAGTAATGAATTCTGGCAGAGGAAAACATTTAAAGTCTGGAAGCCAGAATGTGAATGATATACTTGGGCAAGTGAGGCAGCTTGGCTAGAGTTGAGGGTTCACATTGAGGAGCATTGGGAGATAAAAAATTAAGAGGGTAAGGTGAGGCTGTTTTGCACTATGTACTTCATAAATTCTTGAAATCTAGTCAGAGGAGTTTGTACTTATATCTTGAGGGGTATGGAGAGTCATTAGAGACTTTTGAACAAGGAAATGACATAGAATCAAAGTTAGAATTAGAGAGGTCTTAGAGCTTCTTTAAGCCAACCTCTTTATTTTATATAAATATTTAAATTTATGTAATATTATTTTATATAATTAATAACTTGTAGAACTCAACTTTTATGTACTTAATAACTTCTAAGAAGTTAGGTTTCATATGAATAGAGCATGACTTTCTATAGGTCCACTCTAATTTGTTTCATTTTTTTGTCTTTGTATACCTAGCAAAGTGCCTGGAACATGGTAGGTGCTTAGTAAATGCTTGTTGATTGATTGTTCAGTCATATTTGCTATGTGCATTGCATTTCTTTGCAAAAAAGGGGAATAATATTGTGCTGTATCTTTTCCCCTCTGTAGCTTTACATATAAAAGATTTGAAAAATAAAAGATTCTGTTGGAGTGTTATTATAGGTAGATTTTTATGTCATTTTAGGGGAATGAATGTAGTCTTTTTAAAATAATATTTTATTTTTTCCCAGTTACATGTAAAGACAATTTTTAGCATCATTTAAAAAAAATTTTGAGTTCCAAATTTTCTCTCTCTTTCATCTCCTCCCCAACCTGAGACAGCAAGCAGTTTGATATAGGATATATATGTTCAATCATGCAAGACATATTACCATATAAGTCATGTTGTGAAACAAGACACAGACTCAAAGGGAAAAGAAGCCAGAAATACCAAAAGTGAAAAATAGTATGCTTTGATCTGCATTCAGACTCCATCATTTCTTTTCTGGAGGTAGATTGTTTTTTTTCATCATGAATCCTTTGGAATTGTCTTGAATCACTTGTTGCTGAGAATACCTAAGTCATTCACATTTGATCATTGTACAGTATTGCTGTTAACTGTGTACAATGTTCTCCTGGTTCTGCTCACTTCACTTTGCATCAGTTCACATAAATCTTCTGTTATCAGAATGAGTATTTTTTTTTCCCTAGGTAATTGGAGTTAAGTGACTTGCCCAGGGTCACACAGCTAGTAAGTATCAAGTGTCTGAGGCCACTTTGAACTCAAGACCTCCTGACTCCAGGGAATGAGTATATTATTAATGGGAATTTTGAGCTATCTTAATATTAGGGTATCCCAAAGAGATTTCTAGGGCATCTCGTTATACATTTACTTTTGCACCCCAAACAGGCATGAAATTCAGAAGAGTTTTGTGGGTTTTTATTTTCTCTTTGTAAAGACTCTATCACTGAAGTGATACATTGGAATCCCTAAAAAAGAGGAGAATTGAGTTTTGAAGCACAAAATGTGTTGCAGCACAATAAGATTGCATTATATGAAGTGTTCGTTAAAGTCAAGTAGCTAATATTCCTAGGCAGCTAGGTGGTACAGTGGATAGGGTGATAGACCAAGACTCCTCTTCCTTAGTTCAAATCTGGTCATTAATCGTTGCTTAGCTGTGTGAACCTGGGCAAGTCACTTAACCTTGTTGGCCTCAGTTTCCTGTAAAATGAGCTGGAGAAGGAAATGGCAGGTCACTCCAATATTTTTGCCAAGAAAACTCAAAGAGGTCACAAAGAGTTGGACACAACTGAAAAATGACTAAAGAACAACATAGAAGCTAATATTCATGGCTGGCTTCAAGTCCCTCCTCCTTCAGGTTTTTTTTGTTAGTTTGTTTGTTTGTTTTTTTTAATTTTTGTTGAGGCAATCTGGGTTAAAGTGATTTGCCCAGGGTCACACAGCTAGTTAAGTGTCAAGTGTCTGAGGCCGGATTTGAACTCAGGTCCTCCTGACTCAAGCCCGGAGCTCTATCCACTGCATCATCTCGCTGCCCACCTCCTTTAGTTTTGTTTCATATAAACTTTTTAACAGTGTTCCAACATCCATCAATTTTAAGCTATTTGTAGGGGAAAATAGGCTAGTATTGGAACATCTGAAAAAGGTAAATACTTAAATAACAATGAAAACTGTAAAAATATTTCAATATCTCCTTTAAAATTGATGTTAAATAGCCCACATATTTTTTAAATTGCAGCATCATTTCTCTAGATATACAATATTTAATTCTTTATTTGAGTACCTGCAAAAGGTGGTACACTGGATAGAGTGCTAGGCCTTGAGCAGTAAGATCTGAGTTTAAATTGGGTCTCTGGTACTTACTAGCTCTATGATCCTGTGCAAGTCACAGCCTGTTTGTCTCAATTTTCTTAACTAAAATGGGGATAATAATAGCACCTCTATCTCAGGGTTGTTGTGAGGATCAGTTGAGATAATATTTGTAGAGAGCTCAGTGCAGTGCCTGACACACAGTACTATACAAATGCATATTTCTCTTTAAACAGGATCTGAACTCTAAACACTTTCTTTTGATTATTTACTGTATTGGTCAGTATGGACTACTCTCCACCCTCACCCCCACCCTCAATCTGTTTTGTTTGGCCAGACTTGAGGCCAGCCCATAATTATACTATTAATAAGAGAAGGAAAATAGAAGTGATGACGATGGAGAGAGAGAACAGGAACAGTAAGTATCTTTATATAGAAAGAAAAATTTTAAACCCCTTATAATAAATTTATTTTTATATGGCAATTTTGTGTTAATTTTTCAGAGTATATTTGGAATCAGAGTTAGACATACTTTATGTACAGGTTTTTTTAGTGTCTATTAGAGCAAACTACTTTTCTCATCATTAAACTTGTAGTATGGATATATGTTGTATTATTTACCCATAAAGACATGTGATTTCCTTGTCTTTTTTCCTAAGGAAACACTGCACTACATGATTGCGCAGAATCTGGAAGTTTGGACATCATGAAAATGCTTCTTAAGTATAGTGCCAAGATGGAGAAGGATGGCTATGGAATGACTCCCCTTCTATCAGCAAGTGTGACAGGTCACACAAATATTGTGGATTTTCTGACACAACATGCACAGACTAGCAAGACAGAACGTATTAATGCCTTAGAACTTTTGGGAGCTACGTTTGTAGATAAAAAAAGAGATCTACTTGGGGCTTTGAAATACTGGAAAAGAGCAATGGACATGAGGTACAGTGACAGGACTAATATCATTAGCAAACCTGTACCACAAACATTAATAATGGCTTATGACTATGCCAAGGAGGTGAACAGTGCAGAAGAACTAGAAAACCTTATTGCTGACCCTGATGAGATGAGAATGCAAGCTCTATTAATTAGAGAACGTATTCTTGGCCCTTCTCACCCAGATACATCTTATTATATTAGATACAGAGGTGCTGTCTATGCAGACTCTGGAAATTTCAAAAGATGCATCAATCTATGGAAATACGCTTTGGATATGCAGCAGAACAATTTGGACCCCTTGAGCCCAATGACTGCTAGTAGTTTATTATCTTTTGCAGAGCTGTTCTCTTTCATGCTGCAGGATAGGGCAAAAGGCTTATTGGGAACCACTGTTACATTTGATGATCTTATGGGTATACTGTGCAAAAGCGTCCTTGAGATAGATAGAGCTGTCAAACAAACTCAGTGTCCGCCTGACCAAATACAGTTGAATAAAGCCCTGTCCATCATTTTGCACTTAGTTTGTTTGTTAGAAAAAGTTCCTTGTACTCCAGAACAGGATCATTTTAAGAAGCAGACTATATACAAGTTTCTTAAGCTGCACCCTAGAGGAAAGAATAACTTTAGCCCTCTTCATCTGGCTGTGGACAAGAATACCACATGTGTAGGTCGATACCCTGTTTGTAAGTTCCCATCTCTGCAAGTTACTGCAGTACTGGTGGAATGTGGTGCTGATGTGAATGTCAGAGACTCTGATGACAACAGTCCCTTGCACATTGCTGCACTTAACAACCATCCAGACATCATGAACCTCCTTATCAAATCAGGTTCACATTTTGATGCCACAAACTCTCACAAACAAACTGCTAGTGATTTGTTGGATGAGAAGGAAATAGCTAAAAATTTGATCCAGCCCATAAATCATACAACATTGCAGTGTCTTGCTGCTCGTGTCATAGTGAATCATAGCATATATTACAAAGGGCACATCCCAGAAAAGCTGGAGAACTTTGTTTTACTTCATAGATGATAATTTGACTGAATTCTTAATACTGTTGAAGCACGAGTTGGTAACAGTTGTTTCACATTTGAGCACTGTTGTGATAACACCAGCATTCATATACCTTGATAACATTGTGCTTTTGTTGGCTAAAAGCATTATGAGCATCAGATTTGCAGAATTGGTTGCCCCATATTTAATATAAATATGCCATATATTGTTTTGTGGATTATTGATAAATGTAATGCCATATTCAAATTCCTAAAATTGTCTGCCAAAGCCCTGTCTATCTTGTTTTATTTGCCTGTTGGGTGTTTGGGACTAAATTCTATTTTTCACTGGTCTCTTTATACAGTTCTAGGTTTGCAGATATTAAGCAAATGAAGGCCTATTTTTTTTTTTTGCTTCTTTTTCCCCTGTCCTTTTCTTCCCATCCAGGCCTGCCTACCCCTTCTTCCTTCTCTTTCTTCCTTTCTTCTTTCCTTCCTCCCTTTCTCCCTCCTTACTTCCTCTTCCTCCTCCCATCCTTTGCTCCTCCCATCCTTTGCTCCTCCCTTCCTCCTCTTCCATTTCCCTTGCCTTCCCATCTGTTCTCTTGCCTTCCTTTCCCCCTTTTTTTGGGGGGGGGAGTGATGGGATAGAGAGGGTGGAGTAGCCACAGAGAGGGAGCTTAGGCTTGAATATTTCTGGTTTTTATTTTTATTTTTTGTAATGATTCATTGCTGGGTTGTACAAGCTTTATTGACTTTTTACCATTTGCAGTTACCACAAGTGCTTTATATTCTCTATGCACTGGCTTACACATGACTGTTGTACGTTAGCATATTTCTATGCAGCAGTTTGCCAACTTCAACTCAAACCACTGTTTTGAAGAGTTTGTTGAATTATTTTAAGAGAACACGTCACAGCATGATTTTTTTTTTTAAAGAGCTATGTCAGTTGCCTAAGATTTTCTGATTTTTTTTTTCAGGATGTTTGTGCAGTTGCTTTCTCTAATACACTGAAATTATTATGTGCTCATTTTGGGAGACCTATTCGTCACTCACTGACCCAGATGAAATTTGTCTACCATCTTGCATCATGAAACAAAAAGGAAAGAATCTTTAGATAAAAACTGGCATATCTTTCATGCTGCACCTGTGCTGTTTTGCATGTATTAATTGTGTGATTGTGTATGAATTTGCTCAAAGTTATCTCAAAATTAATCACACAGTTTAATGAGAAATAGATATTCATAGTATGAAATTACAGATCACCTTATTTTAAGGATTGCCTTCCTTAATTGCAAAAAACTAAAGCATGTCAGTGGCATGATGCTTGCCTATCTAAACCTAGGCATCTAGTATAATAATATTTTAGTAAATGGTATAATTTCATGGTATAAAAGGTTCAATAAGTATCCCATTTTTTCCTTAAGTTTAAATACACCTCCTAAAGATAACTTGCATGATTTGTCTTTATTTTTCAGCCATACAAGAAGGTTGCAGTACTACTTAGCCCCTTATTGAAAACTATACTTAAAAAATGTAAATAATGTGTGCACAGCAATTTGATATTGAAGCAGAAAGGGCTCTTCTGACTTAAAAGTATAAGTATAAATAAAGAATACAAATGTGTAAAATTCAGGTAATTACCGTTCAGCACTTTATTGTTATTCAGAATAAAATTTGATAGCTTATCACTGCAGATGTCTTAAAATGAAATTGTTCTGAATAAAAAGTTCCTCACTGATTTGAGGGGAAAAAAAATCAGTTGACCTGTGGTACTAGGGCACTGGCAACATTTTGTTTTAAGGGTTTATGTAATATAAAGATTATTTTATGGATTATTGTTGTGGCCAATAATTAAGATCACCTGCACATTTTCAAAAAATCTTTCCTTCTTTCCTTTTCTCCTCACCCTCCCTTAAATAATTATTCTACTTTTGTGCATTTAATTAGTTAACTATTCAATATCCTGGCTTGTCTAGTAAAGGAATATCTCTCCCATCTGTTAGCTAATTTAAATATTCTTTTGGGGGGGGTGTTCTTTGGTGTATATTTTATGAAAATTTAGACCACCAATGAGTATGCTTGCCTTTTGTGATACAGACTGATATTTTGCCAACTTTTACTTAAACCATGTACTACTCAGTGTTTGAATCTATTACACTGTGTGAGTGACTTTTTAAAAAGAACAATTGACAAGTACAGTAAATCTAAATTGAGCTGTTAAATGATATTTAAAGTCATCCCTTTTTTGGCAGGTATGAACAGATTTTTAAAAAGTGATTCTAATATTTTTCCTCTTTTGCATATCCCTTTTATGTGCTGTCTTAGGGACACCAGAGAATCCTCTAAAGATGAACCATAACTCTACTTCAAAATGTAGCATTTCTGTACTGCTAACAATAGATAACTTAGAACTGTTCTTAAGTAATGAAAACTCCTTATTTAAAGTAAGGTACTACTAGCTAGTTTGACATATCGAAGTAATATATTGAGGTATCATCATAAAAGAATTTTTTATTTTGAGAATTCAGAGTTGACAATTAGGTTCCTTTACACATGAAAAAGCCCTTTTAGGGTATTGTTAAAAGTTATTGTGAAACCAAATAAAATAAGATACTTAGTATCTTTATTTTTTACCAATTATTAAATTTATCCCTAGTGTGAACTAATTGTGCTGATTTGAGTCAAGTCTAGTGCAAATAAATAGTGTAGATTGTACTTAATGCAAGTTAACTCTATGTCTGCTATGTTCTTTTTTCACCTATTGGCATTCAGTTTTACTACTGGACACCTTTTTTTAAAAAATAGAAATTTCCATTATTTCAACTAGATGCCAATTTATTTTATATGGGCAAATGGGTTTTCAGTTAAAAAACACTCATTTTCTTTCATCTCTTTTAATAAGGGCTTAAACTCAAATTAATAAAAGAAGATAGATGCCCTTTAATCTAACACTACATTGACTATTTCAGAGACCCCAGCTACTGTGACTTTGAATAAATATTTAAATTATATGTGGCGGAGTAACTCTTAAAAGTTGTGTTGTCTACCAGAAATAAGAGCCTGAAATGCAAGGATTTTAGCTCTTTTAATTTTCTAGGATGGGACAAGCTCTGTATTCTTGTATACTGAAATATAGGATAATTGACCAGCGCATTTTGGAGTCAGATACTAAAGAACTTTGAAGAATATCATAATTAACCACCCTTTCTGTCTTATTTTCCTAATCAACGAAGCTCTCTTTTGTCAGTTTCCCATTGTGTATCTTTCCAAAGCAATACTGTATTCAGAGATGACAACCAATGCATTGTCACACAATGGTAAAATGACATGCCACAATGTATGTTGTGAGGCATAATAAAATTAAAAATTTACATCAAACTTAAGTGTATGCTTGTCAGAATGTGAATTGACATTCTTGTTTGGGGTCTGTTTAAAGTATAACAATGAATATTTGTTTAGTCTCTTCACTGTCATCTGATAACAATTGCCGCCTTTTTTTTTTTTAGAGTACCTTTATGTCCATTGTGTTGTCCTAATTTCTTTACAAGCCTTATTCCAAGACAGGCTGCAGAAATGAGAACAAAAATATGAGGAGACGTTTTTGCCAGCTGGGGAAGGATTTAAAAAAACCCAAACAATTCTTGCTGTTGTTTTAAAAGCAACTTGGTATTAATTTTGCTTAGAAGTACAAAATGTTACCTGTCACTGCAAAATTGTATTGACTTAGAAGTTAATTTCCTTAACCCTTTTGCACATGTGTCTCAGTGCTTGTTTGTCTTTGAACATTCTAGACAAGGTTTACTGATTAAACTGTCATGCCTAATTTGTTCTAGCAAGAGACTTGCCAGAATTTCCAAACTCCAAGCAGCAGTTGATGCATAGATGATTTTATGATTTTTCTCCTTTTGATTATTTATTTTGGCCAGTAAAATAATGCCATCTTTTTTTCCCTTTCAGTATGTTCTTTTGTGCTCTGATGTTGTTACTGTTTCTTCAGTTATTTTTCTAGCATATTTGAAAAGGAATTTCTCCCGGATTGATGAATCAGTATTATGTTTACATCAGCAAGCACAAGAAAAATCTTAGTAGTTTATCAAAGCACCATTTCCCTGACTGCAGATAAACTTCATGCTTTAAGGGAAGGACATTTTTTGAATGTGTATCTTGCTATTTGTTTTCAGAAGTGAATTCTTAATAGACTCTTAAGAAATCTATAATATTGGTTGTGTATATTTTTTATTCTCTGGATATTTAATGTTTACCTATAGCTTTTGGTCTTCATGCACAGTTTATAGCTATGTCTGCTCAAAACCCAAAGGAAAAATTTAAGTTACTTGCTTGGATGAACGGAGAGAAAACATTTAAAGCTAACATTAGAAGACACTAAATTTTTTTATGTCGCTAAGAAATTAATATTCAGTAAACCTAAAATTACTGTGTAAGTCAGTGGGGAACATGATAACATTTATAAAAATGTGATTGATGCAATTTACCAGTAACAAATGATGCATAAAGTTAGGAACTTCTACTCAAAAGATTTAAAACCATGAAATTATTTGCTTTCTTCTTTTCTTAAAAATATAACTTAACAATGGCAAATGTAATACTGTGCACTTAATAGATCTTAATAAATATTTGTTGGTTCATTGATCCTAAATTTTCTATTTTGAAAAAAAAAGTAGCCCAATCTTATTGAAGTTAGCATCTTTAAAGATATGAAGGATATAGATCTCAAATACTAAATCTCAAAATCTCAAAATACTAAAGTATTTGTGGCAGTTGTAGATACAGTACACAATTAGCTTGGTGGCCTTGGAACTAGTAGGACCTAGGTTTGAATCCTGACTCAGACAGCTGTGTGACCTTAGGCAAGTCACAGATCTTTCTCATCTATAGTTAACTCATCTATAAACAGGGTATAATAGCGTCAACCTCAAAGGGTTGTGAAAATCAAATAAGAATTTTTAAAAGCACTTTACAAGCTTTTTAAAGCATTATATATATGCTTGTTATTACTATTATTAAACTAAGGGATGCGATTTGAATATTGAAAGATGTATTAGGACAAATACAACATTTCTTTCTACTTTATGCCATGTATAATAAATACTTGGATCCTCTGTTGCTTAAATATTTCAGTGTTTTATGATTTCCTCAGTAAGAGTAATACTTTCACTGATGTACACTGTTCCTCCCCTCCTCCACCCCTCATTTTATCAGGGTAATCAGCTGCTGTGACCAAAGAACATCATCAGGTAGGTAACATTCTAGTAATGAACTCTACAA